AACGCCCGTCGTACTTGAACCTCGATAGAGATAATGCTGGTATTTTTTCAGAAAGTCCTCGGGTTACATTGGGATACGATTAATGATGTTTTCACATTTGTGCTGTCGTTTGCGAAGGTGGATCCAGTAGTGCTTGCTGGCCAGAGGAGACCAACTAAGCGAGAAGTATTGAGCGTCACCATGTCGGTGTTTGATCCGTTTGGAATGGCGGCGGAGTATACTATGGAAGCGAAGCTCCTCTTACAGTCAACTTGGCGTGTGAGTACCGGCTGGGATGAATATATCTCGGAAGAATTGTATGAAGCATGGCTAAGATGGTTGAAAGCGATCAAGCGTTTGGAAGAAATAAGCGTACCGCGGTGCTACGGATTCCACTTCGAGCAGTTACCAGTTGAACTACACATATTTTCCGACGCGAGCGAAGTAGATTATACAGCAGTAGCATACTGGAGGTCACCAGAGGGAGCAAGTACCGCCAACCCCATACTCATCTCAGGAAAGACAAAATGCGCACCATTGAAGCTTACGTCTATTCCCCGCCTCGAGCTGCAGGCTGCAGTGTTGGCTATGCGACTTCGCAAGAGCATCCTTCAATGTCACGTCAAGATCCCTAAAAGAGTGGTGATGTAGAGTGACTCCAAAACGGTGCTAGCTTGGGTAAAATCTGATCACCGGCGCTATAAACCATACGTGGCTCATCGCGTGAACGAGATCTTAGAGGCTAGCAACGTTAATGAGTGGCGATGGATTCCAGGCGCCTTGAATCCGGCTGATTGGGGAACACGTCCGAGGGCAGACAAAAGAAATTCGACCTGGATCGGTGGTCCGAAGTTCCTACCACAAGATGAACACCTGTGGCCGCCGGACGAGGTGAGTCCGAATACGCAAGAGGAACTTCGCTCAAAATTCTCAGTTTTTACAGTTAAGATCAGCATTTCCATGTTTATGAAATTCTCGACGCTGATCCGCATGACCAGAGTAGTAGGTTGGATTCTGCGATTCCGAAACAACTGTAGGAAAGACGTAAGCAATAGAATCTACGGAGGACTAAGCGCTACGGAAGTAAGAAGAGCTGAAATTGCGATAATTCGTGCAGTACAACAGGAGAACTTTGCTGAGGCATATTACCCGCTGATGGCGGGAGAGAATTTGGAACGGCGCAGCTCACTGAGAACCCTCACACCGGCGCTAGATGAAGTAAGAGTGATACGGGTAGGGGGACGAATAGATGCTGCAACAGCTATCCCCCCACATTCACGTCGGCCGATAATACTGCCGAAGCGCCATCACGTCACCGAACTCGTGGTAGATTACTATCACAAAATCTGGAAGCATCAAAATGAAGGCACGATAATCGCGGAGATACGGCGGTGATATTGGATTCCACAACTTAGAGCAGAGGTGCGTCGTGCTGCGCGAAGATGTCAGGTTGCGTAAGGGAAAGGGCCAAGCCGAATCTCCCACAAATGGGCCAACTTCCGGTAGATAGACTTACACCCTTCGTAAGGCCATTTACATACGTCGGTCTGGACTACATGGGTATGTTTACAGTCGCGTTTGGCAGAAGAAGCGAGAGGCGTTGGATCGCGCTATTTACTTGCCTTACGATCGGAGCAGTACATTTTGAACTCGCCAAGGATCTGTCAACGGATGGATGCCTGTCTCATGTGCATACGAAACTTTATAAACCGCCGAGGAACACGAGTGCGCATCCGCTCCGACAATGGCACAAACTTCATCGGAGCTGACAAAGAGTTGGGACGCCAGAGGATTGAGTTCGAGAATGGCAAAATATCTAATGCACTGGCGAACAAACACATCGAATGGGTTTTCAATTGCCCCCTGAATCCCCATGCTGGTGGCTGCTGGGAGCGACTTGTCCGTAGCGTGAAACGTACAATGGGACATGCGCTGTCGATGAAACCCTTCAAGAGCACTGTTTGTACTGCCTCATGTGCGAGGCAGAAAACATAGTTAATGCACGACCGTTGACGCACATACCACTAGACGAATACACTGACGAACCGCTAACCCCTAACCATTTTCTCCTAGGTGCTCCAAACTCCGAACAAACGCCACATCCACACCAAGAAAAGATGATCCCGACCAGAAAACAGTGGTACAAGGTTCAACAGATGCAGCACAGATTCTGGAGAAAGTGGAGTACTTGCCCGACTTGACGAGGCGAACAAAGTGGTACGGTGTACAGAAGCCACTAGCCGTAGATGACATTGTCCTGCTCTGCGACGGAAACATGCATCGATCGAAGTGGCCGACCGGGCGGATTGTCCAAGTGTTCCCAGGTGTCGATGGACAAGAAGAGCCGCGCGAGTGCAAACACGGGACGGCGTATACAAACGCCCAGCATGCATAATGGCCAGGTTAGATGTTGGTGGACCTGGTTAGATCCACGGAGGCGGGGATGTTGGCGCGGCTTAGGAGTTAATAAAACATAATTGAATTTTTTGTAAGATGGCAATCCTAATTGTATCGTAAATTGTATGTAAAATCTTGTGTTAGTAGCAACGCCATGCCAAAACTGTGTAAACGATATGACAGCCATTATGTGCAAAGAAAATAGCGGCATTCGTGGCTGGCATATCGGAGGAATCACACAAAAGTGTAAGTAGAATTTTGTAAATTGTATTAATGTAACTAATTTCAATTTTTCTAAAGGAAATAAAACATTCCAGTTATTATTACATGCCAACGAAGATTGTGGATTGAGTGTGACAAAATGTAGACGGCGTCGTTTTCCAATTTTGTATGGAAATCTACAACAGCACAGATTTTAGGGTTAGAAAACGTCTTAAAATGTAGACGTCTACATTTTGAGACACTATTTGGAACAAACTGTGAACACCTCAACTGTTTTCAACAGCACTGATAAGTGATCAAATGCAGAAATACAATATTGTGCTCCGCCGCTAACGCATATCTCTGCATTTTTAGCTTGATGTGCTACCGAACCATGATTCAATGATACAAGGTTGGATAACCTGGCAGTTGTCTCGCTCCCGCATTCTGCCTTAGCCTGTGTTGCCTTCTTTTTTGATTTATAAAAACTACTACTAAAATACAAGGAGAAATATTGTCTTCGTATAAAAAGTTCAACAGGCAAAATTGCCGATATTTTCATCGATTGTTTCGAGGAAATTCATTTTCCTATTGAGCAAATTCAAGTATGGCAAAAAATCAAAAATAATGGGTATATTTTGAATTACAACAATAATTTACATATTTATTTTGCACAAAGTAGCGTTTTCCAACAAGTGCAGCCGTTGCAAGTAAGTTTTGTATGCTAGTATCCCTGTATCCATCCACGTATGGTAGTACAAATATTAATAAATATATTCTCTTGTGAAGGTCAGGATCATTTGGGTGTCCGTCCACGTTTGCTGGTGCATGTATTTTTACCACTGCAGCCTTTGGGTTGATCCTTTGCATATATACAAGTAAGTATACCACTCCATAAAAGCGAAAGTGGAAATATTAATAAAGGTATTTGTGCTGATTGTGACTGATTGCAGAAAAAAGTACGCAACATGTCAAAAAATTAACATTTTTAAAAAACGAAATGTAATGTATTGAAGACATATTTTTAAAGTTTAACCGATATAATGATTAACAAGACTGATTGGAGAAAAAAGTAAAAAACATTCCACAAAAATTAGATTTTTAAATAACCAAATGTAATTAAATTGCGATATTGAAGATCTAACTTTTAAATGTAACCAATATAATGATTAGCAAGACTGATTGGAGAAAAATGTAAAAAACATTACTAAAAAGTTTAAATTAAAAAAAAAACCAAATGTAATTCAATTTAAGATATTGAACATGCAATCTTTAAATGCAACAAACATAATACTTTTTAAAAGATTAATTCACATGCATTAAATCAATTGCATTTTTACCATTTGTATAATTCTTCATATAGTCCCTTTCAATAAAGGATTTGTTTGAATTCCATTAATTTTGTTAAATATATACTGGAATATCAATGAAACCATGGTTTATTTTGAATATTTGGGAATATTTCTTCAAAGACTTCAAAGATTTTTCTTTGGCAAGAATTTTATGTGAATATCCATTTATTTCATTTTTAATATTTATGTGGCCATAAAAAATTAATTAATTTTCTATTGTGTAGATCAGTGGAATCTTCTTTATATATTTAATTCAATTTGTATATAAAAACGCATTTCAGCACTACCAGGCTACTTACTTTTCCTACTACCTTTACACAAAAGGGGATGAAATTGTGACCCGCTTCTCTTTCCTTCTTAAATGCAACCTTACAAGGCAGTCGATTGACACAAATGTCAATATTTATCCAACCTTGTATTAGTTTCGTTCGCGTAGCTGTTAATTGTTCATGTTTAACCAAAACTTACAAGTTTTTGCGTTCGCGTACGCAAAAAACTTGCAAAGTAGGGGAAATTGAGAGAGCAAAGTGACATTTCATTTTGAGCGGAGCTGCTGGTTTCTGCTGGAAAAATTTTTGCCAACAGGAAAACAGCTGATCAAAAATAGCTGGTTGGCATTTACGCAAATCACAAAATTGAAAATGATGGTTTGGAAGTTAAAAATTACAAAATGCGACTAATTAAACTTGTAAGAAATAAGTAGTTATTTGTTTAATCAATAAACTGTGTCAGTATAACACTTTCTGATGACTTTACGTACGTTTTAAATTTTACACTTTTGAATGTAAACAAAATTTCTATCAGCTGTTCGTCTAACTTGCAAGTTTCTGTAAATTTTCTGTTCGCGTACAATTTTTGATATTTCTCTCTTGTGAGAGAACAGATGACATTTCGCCGGAATTTGGCAGTTGGTTGGTTATTACTGGAGATTTTAAACGAACGCACCTATTATTGAATCATGCTACCGAACCAAGAATGATAGAATACAAGATTGCGCCGTCATGGCCGTTGACATTTGTGTACCACAAGTAAAGAAAGAATAGAGCAAAAACGAAGAACGAGTTGAAACTGCCAAAACAATTCGCTTACAGCGAAAAAAGTGTTTAATTTTGCTAAATGCGAAAATATTGCATTTTCACATAATCTATTAGAGAAAAGTGAACGTTTTAGTGCACTCGATCGAGTGCTTTGCAATCGAAGCTGCTGCAGCAAACGTTTTAGCGCACTCCATTGCTTTGCAATTAAGGTTGATGCAGCAAACTGCGGCAGCATCTCAGCGGGATTGATTAGTTAACTTACTAAAGGAGAATGCTTGGAGCAGAAGCGAAGTCATTGTGATGCAATGCCGTCAATATAATAATAAAGATACATTTCGAGAACGGCTTTACCGTGCCCTATGCACACAAAATGCAGCGATTCGTCACAGCGCTACACTTGCATCATCTACGCATCTCGCATCTTAACGGCTGTCGAAATTTAACACACGGCACTTCATTTTATCAGTTTTTACGCAGTTCTTAACTCAAAAATCACTCTGAAGTTGCAAAATAACACCATTTACACTGATTTTTCACTTATAATTAAAATTCTCTTTGTCGCTGATTTGTAAACACAGGTTTATTTACAAGTTACTACAACTGTCAAAATCGGCAAAACCAAAGTAGCGGTACCACTGACGGCGCCACCTTTGTTCACTGTACCGTGCTACCGAACCATTAGTGAACTGTGTAACCCAGCATATTTTCGGGCGCTGATACCACGAAGCCAGCGCCATACCCTGTATCAGCGCAATTGCGCCATGTTTTTTCTTTTTGCAGAGCCAACTGAACGAGCGAAGCGCAGCCAGAGAATGTTAAATAACAGCCAGAGCATGGAATTTAACATATTCTGATGAATATGCGAGTAATTATGTAGATTTGTACGTATGCTGCCGTCAGTAGTAGATATCAGTGTACCTACATATGTACGTATGCATGTGCGCAAGAACGTTATCAATAAATGAGTTTGGAGTAAGTACATACATATATATGCGTGGGACATGCTTTGATTTTGTCTCCAAAAGTATTGGGGCATATTCATAGTCGAAATATTGACGATTTGCATTTTATACATACTTATTCAGCGCATCGATTAGTGCAACTTTCAATAAAAAATTAATTATGCTGCATATAATTTTAATATAATTGTGTACATATATAGCAAGAATGAT